GTGGAGGGTCGACAAAAGAGGGGGAGGCCTTCAATGAGATGGAGTGACACGGTGACTGCGATGATGGGCTCAAGTATAGCAGGGATTGTGGGGCTGGCACGGGATCGGGCAGTGTTTCGTTCTGCTGTGCATGGGGTTGCTATGAGTTGGAAACGACTCGATGGCACTAACAACAACAACAACAACAAACCAAAAAGAGGGAAAAAACTGTGTAGTTACAGAACTTCTAAATGGTAGGGAAATCAAGACAACTGCAAGACAAAATGGACTGTTCTAAACTTGGGAAGAAAATTATAAATCACAGGGTAACCTCAAAGAAAAATGATAAACCTTCACATCAAAATAAAAGAGGGTCAGCACAAATATTTAGTAAATACTGAAACAATAGCAAAGAAGGAAGTGATAATACGATTCATAAACAAAATGAGCTCAGCACAGAAAATTATATGAACAAAGAAATCAGCAACACCACCAAAAATCACATAACAAAATGACAGCAAATTCATATTCAATAATTACACTGCCAAAAGAGTGAAAAGAGAACCTACAGATTCGAAAAATGTATTTGGCAATGACATATCTGACAAGGGACTTATCTCTAAAATTTATAGAAAACTCCAATAGCTCAACAACAAAAAGATTAACAATCCAATTTAAAAAGGGGCAGAAGACATGAATAGACACTTCACCAAAGAGGACGACATTCAGGTGGCCAGCAAATACATAAACAAATGCTCATGATCATTAGCCACCAGAGAGATGCAAATCAAAACAATGTGCTAACATCTTACCCTGCACTAATGGCAAAGTTCAGTAGGACAGAAAATAACAAATGCTGGCGAGGATGTGGAGATTGGGACTGTTATACACTGCTGATGGGACAGTCAAATGGTACAACCACTGTGGAAAGCAGTATGGCAATTCCTTGAAAAGCTGGAATTAGAAATACCTTTTGACTCAGCAATCCCATTACTAGGGATACATCCTGAAGAAGTGAGAGCCAGGACAAGAAGATAAATGCACACCCGTGTCCATCGCAGCAGTATTTACACTAGCAAAAAGATAGAAACAACCTGTGTGCCCATGAACAGAAGAATGGATAACTATAGTATATGCACACAGTGGAATACTATGCAGCACTAAAGATTAACGTTGTTGTTGTTGTTGTTGTTGTTATGTGCCATCGAGTTGGACCCAACTCATAGCGACCCCTCCTTGGGTTTCTGAGGCAGTATCACTACGAAAGTAGATTGCCCCATCTTCCTTCCGGGGAGTGGCTGGTGGGTTTGAACTGCGTAGAATCTGCAAAACACTGCATAACATGGATGAGCTTGTAGGACATTATGCTGAGTGAAATAAGTCAATCACAGAAGAACAAATATAGTATTAGTTCATTATTGTAAAAAGTCAAGAAAAGGTTTATATGTAAGGAAACTAACTTTGTTGGTTACCAGCATTGTGAGGGGAAAGGAGAGAACATTGCAAAAAAAAAAGAAAGAAAAAATGCATTGACCCATGTCACTTTAGTTTTGGGTATTTCACTGTGCATGAAAAGCAAAACAGATAAATGATTTCACTCCACCTTCTGTGGGATACATATTTTATAAATAAAATTTCAAGTGGTTTCATTAAAAAAATAAACAATATTGTCTTAATCCAGTTCTTGGTTTCTCTTTTCTTTTTCCCTGTCCCGTGCTATTCTCCCACAATGTTCAAAGTTGACATGTATTTTTCTTATACTAAAGCTTTAATTACATTTTGCTGACAAAATTATTACAACTTTGATTGTCCAGAGCTTTTCCTAAGTACAGATTTCTGGGGAAACAGTGGGCAGAGAGATGGATTTTAAGGAAGCTGCTTCCCTCTAATACTACCTACAAAATCAATGGATAAAGGCTTGTTAGGGCCAGAATTCTGCTTTTGAATAACCATCCTTTAGTAACTGGTGTATAATGTTGCTTCTTTACACAGAAAGGATAACTTATTGGTTGGAACTTGCAGAAACATGGATGTCATACCACTTTTTTTTGCCAGGATACACTTGGTCAGATTTCAGGCTGGATTTGGACCTTATCTCATCTACTTGGTTGGGTGCCTATTTGCACAGTACAACCCACACAAATTCTGATGGCCGTTAAAATTTATAGAATCATCCCAAATAAACTAAAATGTAAGCATTTTAAAAAAATTGAGTACTAATTATAAAACCCTTAGGGTGCTTTAAAACCCCAGTATTCAAAATTTAAAAAGTGTAAAATGGTGTAAAACATTAAGAAAGCACAGTATGAAGCTTCGACCTGAGCCTTGCTCTCATTTAATACAACTAAGGCACAAGTCTAAACAACTGTTAGGAAAAATAGCACCACTGCAAAGTGAACTGTTACTCTATTGCATGTATGCACTGTAAAGGATCCTTAATTGATACTATTTAAGGTATTATCATAAACAATAAAGATGCTGAAAAGGCAGTATTTCTCATCATCGTGGTCAAAATAACGATACACAAGCATGAACTTGTATGTTGGAAGCCATTCAGGATTCCAAAGCTCAAGGCTGATAACCATATTTATTTTTTAGCAACAATGTATTTATATTTTCAGTGGCATTAGTTTTTACCAGTGACATTAGTTTTTACTATGAAAAAGGGCCAGTTCTAAATTACTTACTCCTATAAGTATACACTTAAAGGGAAATGACTCTTACACTGTCCACTGAAGAGAGAAGACAGTTCCTATTTCTCTTATATTTGTATTGTTTCTTCCTTCAAATTATCATATTGCCCAGTGCCAGATCAAAGGCAATGCTCATATGCATTTCAAAACTAAAATTAAGAGTTCAATGCCATCCTTTCATTTCTTGATACCAAACTGTGGGGAAAGGGTGTTAAGAAAAGATTTCCAAAGTTATATACAAAGGTAAGCATAGTGGGAAAGTTATTATATTCTATATAGTAATCTCATTATATTATCCTTCATGGCTGCTATTTACCTCTACAAGTACTAACTCCTCAGTGCTAAATACTAGCATAGTCCAACTGGGTCACCCTCTTACAAAATTAATAGTATACTATAAATTGGGAGCTCTGGTGGCATAGTGCCTAAGGCATCTGACTGCTAACCAGAAGGCTGGCAGTTCAAACCCACCAGCCACTCCTTGGAAGGCAGGTTGTGCAATCTACTTCTGTAGTGATACTGCTTTAGAAACTCAAGGAGAGGTCGCTGTGAGTCAGATCCGACTTGACAGCAGTGAGTTTGGTGTTTCTTTTTTTTATATATAACTAAATTATCACTGTTGATTTCTTGTATCAATTGTGAAGTAAAGGGCATAACACAATCCCCC